AAAAAAAAATTATTATTATTTTTTTAATTTTTTTCGTCCAACCCGGCGGGTTGGAGGGTTTTTTTTTTTTAAAGTAAAAAATGTAACCCGTCGGGTCACTGGGTTGACATAATGAAACCTGGCTCGCCCGATGGGGTATATACGGGTCGGGTTCAACTCAACCCACCTTTTAGGCAGTCCAGATTGAACTCTCTTTAATGCGGGTTGGGTTAGGGTTGACCTGCTAACCCAACCCATTTGTTCCACCTTTATAATTATACCAATAGGGATAAGTGAATTGGGTCAAATAAAATGGGCTCATACCGAAAGGGAGTATGCCATGGTGAATTAAGAAAAATAGTAGTTGACAGCAAGTAATTTTCAATAATATAATGCTTAGTAATTAAGTAATATATTTATAATTGTTCTAGATTAAATTTTATATTTCATTAAGAGTATTGCCAAATTTATATTCGTTGGTTTAAAAGAAAAAAGAAGAATATTTTCCTTAAACCGCAAAATAGTATTTAAAATACTTTTCTTCTTTAAAATTTTGGCCTACATTCCTTGTGCAAAAAATGGTTTAATTTAAAAGCATTTAAAGCAAGACAGCTGGTGCCACTCTTGGCAAAGACACAAACATGTTCTTATTTAAAAGGAAATAACCTCATGTGTGACATTGTCATAAACCCTTTTTATACTAAAATCTTTTAAATACCAAATCAATGTACATTATGTTTGAGGAGTTCTACATCCTTTTATTTACTATTTATATTTCATATTATTGTTCTTTGTTACTTTTCCATTACCTTTTTAAGTGGTTCAATTAATACTATTTTCAATTTCTACTTATTTATTTGTCATCCACAACAATCACATTTAATTCTTAGGTTTTTTTTTTTTTAATAATATCTCTTATTTAAAAAAAACTATTTTTAAATGAAATGTCTAATTTTAAAATAATTTCCTAAAAACGATTTCATAAATTATCATATGCCTATTTAGTTTTGCATTGTGACTTTTTGTCCAAACCAAGGCAACGTCGCATTCATTAGAGCACTCCATAATTGTCTAATGAGTAAACACTTTGTCCCACCCAAGGTTTTCCTTAATACATTCCCACCCAAAAAGTTTTAAAATATCATCTTGCCACACAAAATTAATATTTCATTATTACCCAAAGCCGATTCTGATGGCAAAAATTCTCTTATTCACTATCATTTGAACATCTGGTATTCTCTCTATAAAATTACTCTCACTCTAACACCTAATTTCTCTCTGATTACCAGTCACCACAAATCTAGAGTTTCTTGTTTTTAGTTGATTTCCGGTTGACTCTAACAACAAATATTTAATCAGTCACGATCATTCGATCCACCAACCTCCACTCTACAAAACCCTTCTTACCCTGACTCTTGGTAACTTGCTGAACGCCGACTAAGGAAATGAAATGTATTTTAGATATTAATGAAATATAAACTTTGGGTAGGAAAGTAGTATTTTGAAATTTTTGGGTGGGACGGATATTAAAACAAACCTTGGGTGGAAAAAATCGTTTACTCTTGTCTAACGCCAGAAGTTAGAGTGAGAAATGCCAGCTCAGCTCAGAGCAAAAACAAGAGTGCTCGATAAAAAAGCAAGTTAATGACATTTTCATCGAGGAAGTATTACTTTGGTCTTGTAAAATCTGATCATTATAATCCCTGTCAGAGTAGTATAGGTAAGAAATTATGAATTGTGAAACTGAAATGTCTATTATACCCCCATTTCTCAAATATAGAATAAAAAACATTAGAGATTATAATAACAAAACTATAATGAAATAAAAAATGAAAATAAAATGAATTAGAATTTGTAAAAACTTATAAAAATATTCACAACTAAAAATAAACAATAAAAATAAAAATTCCTACCTTAAAAAACAAAATCAAAAAAAATCTCATATGAAATTTTATTTATATATTTTTATTTTGATAACTAAGATGTCCGAACAAGTTTATATGTCAGTCAATTAATCTCATGATAAATAAAATTTTATTTATAATATTATTGTGGGCTTAAGGTTTGAATCCATAAACCAAGGAAAAGGGTATATCTCCTTAACCCAAAGGACTAGCTTATTGTTTTTTTTTTTTAATTAAATTTTATTTTATAAACTAAACTGTTTCATTTTTCTGATTTCATTTATTATTCTTAATAAATGTAAAATGATAACCATATCCTCGTACTTTTATATTTTTTAATTTTCTCTAACTACAATTAGGAGTAGAAAAAAATTTTGTGAAACTGAACGGTTCGGTTTGTATTTTTAGTAAAAAATAAAATAAAATAAACCAATAGATTTATTTTTTAAGAACCATATGATATGGAAATTGGTTTTCAGGTCTTGGTTATTTGTCGAACCGTACTGAACCATATTTTTTTAATACCCTGAATTACAAAGAAATTCCTGAAAATATCATAAAACCTTTAGAAAATATCAAAAAAACCCCAGATACAAAGCCTAAAGTAGACCTGGCAAAACGGGTATGGACCCCGGGTCGGTCCGTACCCGGTAAAAATATAGGGTATGGGTTCAATAATTAAACCAATTTTTTGTGACCCGTACCCGTACCCGGTCCAATAAATTACGGGTCATACGGGTGACCCGTGGGCACCCGCGGGCACCCTATAAGCCAAGGCTTCTGTTCTGTTTTGAACTGAATGAATCCCTAAAAGTTTTTAATTTTATCACAGACTTCACGCCTCCCTCTCACGCCTGACGCCTCCCTCTCACAGAGTCACAGTCATCACGAATCCCTCTCACGAGTCACAGTTCACACTCACGCGTCACGCCTCCCTCCACGTCTCCCTCTCACGCATCTCATCGTCATCAGACTCATCACGATCACGGTCACGCCTCCCTCTCACAGTCTCACTCTCATCTGAACATCTCATCTCAGATCTCTCAGTCTCAGATCGCGGCCGCATCGTCACTTCGTCATCAGTCTCTCATCAGTCATTGCCTCATCAGTCTTCTTCGATTAATATTCGTCACTTCGGTAACGAAATAGAGGCTCAGAGAGAGATCAGAAGCGAAGTTCGGCAAAAACAGGTTTCTTCAAAAACAAATCCTTTTTGATTATTTTTTATTTTTTATTTTTTTATTTTTTTATTTTTTTGGGAAGCGAATGAATTTTTACTCGAATGAAGAGTTTTTAGGAAGAATTGTTTGAGTTTCTTTCATAGCTGCTTATGTTTGGTTTGGTACAGTTTGATGGACCCTTATGGTTTGGAAAATTGACAAATAGGTCCCTTTGTGAGAGAGGTTTATGGTTAATTTGATGAGATTTACAGAGGTTTGGGGTGATCTTAGGGGAATTTATGATGATTATCATAGTTTAAGAGAAGTTTTTGATGGTTTTGGAAATCAATGGGATCTTTTTTAAATTCGTACTTTAGTGATAATGAATCTTTTTTTGGAATGAATTTTGCTTGGTTTTCTTTTTTGTGGTTGGTATAGTTTTATGTTTCATTTTGTGCTTGGTTTTAAATTTTGTTGTTTGGTTACTTAGAAAGTGGAGGAAAGTTATGAAAATGAATTGGAAAGAGTAGAATAGCAATGGATCTTGTTTATGTGTTCTCTTTATGGGTTTGTGATGATTGAAATGAACAGAAAAAAAAAAAAAGAAAAAATGACACTAATCGAAAGTGAGCGAAATTCTTGAGCAGATGAACTTTAATTGTAGTTTTGTGATTAAGATGATCATTTATACATCCTTGGAGCGCAGACTTTGTTTGGTTGCTTGGAAAATGTGGAACGTGAAACACAATGAAGTTGTAGATACCAATGTGTTCTGCTGATATTTTGAATAGAATTGCAAACTCATTTCAGCAGAAGGGTTGTGTTAGCCTTAGTTTAGTTAGTGCTGGTTTTAGTTATCTTTAGTTTCATAATGGTGAAAAATCTGGGATTTCAAGTTCATGTTATCAGTAAATAGGTGGATTATTTATAATTTAACATTAATCAATCTATAAATAACTCGCTTATGCATAATTGCTACATAGAATCTATTATGAAATAGACCAATTGTAACATGTTAACATAATATTTCGTATATTTTATTATTTACATTTATTAATATTTGTAGTTGATCATTGTTTTGTAGATGATGAGGTGAAAGATGATTCGGATGATGATCTTGATGTGCCATTGACTGATCTCGAGACCGTGGAATCAAGAGACTCTATCACGCCCACTGTGGAATGAACATTTGCTGTCCTAAGAATGTTTTTTGTTGAATATTGGATTATGTATTTGTTTATTTTAATTGGTATTTATAGTTTATTGACTTATTTGTTTTGTTTATGTGTAATTGTATATTAGTGATTTTGTATTTGTTTGTTTTGGTTGGTGTTTGTAGTTGTGTATTATATGTTATTGTTTGTTTATGTGTTATGTGTTATTTGTTTATTTTGGTTCATATTTGTTTATATTCTTAATTGAATTGAATTTAGAGTAGTTGATTTAGGGGGTGTAAATGTAAAAAATTAAAACTGCAGGAATTTTGGGGGTGTAATTGTCATAATTGAAAACTATTAGGGGTGAAAGTTAAAACTGAAATCTGGAGAGAGAAAAAACGGGTCCACCCGCGGGTCCACCCGTACCCGTATAGGGTAGGGCACGGGTCCAAAATATTGGACCCGTATATATCGACCCGTTTAAGGCCCGTACCCGTTTTACCCGTACCCATTTTACCCGGTTCGTACCCGGCCCACCCACCCGTTTTGTCAGGTCTAGCCTAAAGATCAATAAAACCGAAACATTTGTCTATCCCAAACTGCAGAAGCATGACAGGGGCTAAAATGACCTTTTCGGTTTTAATTGGACTAATAATATTTCTTTAAATATTAGGGATGAAAATGTTATTAACTCTAAAAAAGCAGAAGAAAGAGAGTGGGGAGGTGGCTGCTGTGACTGTGACTGTGACTGTGAGTCGCGTGACTGGCCAGTGACAGTATAAAAACTCCTTGTCGCTCTTCACAAAACTTTCCTCTCTCTTAGGGATTGAGATTGCAGGCAGAGTCGTAGCAGCCACACAAAACCAAAATGGATTGATAGTTTCTATTTCCATCCAAATTTTTACTGTCTCCACCCCTTTCCCATCGGTAAATTTCATCTCTCTGATTTTAAGTTACTGCCTGTTTGAAGATTTCTTTATTTCGTTTTTTTTTTTTTAAATGCTTGTTTTCTTCAGATCGGGTGTGTTTGTTTCCTTGGAAACAACATTTTCGTTTTCCCAGAAATTTGTTGCTTCTTGCTCTTTGTGCTGACGTGTACTTTTTTGGTAGTTATTGTGAGAAATGTGTTGATTAGGTTTTCTTTTAGTGTATTTTTGTGGGTTTTGTTTCAATTTTGCATTTATGATGATCTTTTGTGGTTTTGTGGCTGTGTTTGGTTAGGGTTTTTGTGTTTTGTTGCTCGAATTTGGCGATCTCTTGGTCAGAGCTGGTTAAGTGGCTGGTAAGGTGAACGCTTTTTTGTACTTTAGTTTTATTTTGGTGGGTGATTTTTATGAGCTGATTTTTTGCTAAATATTGTGCTGTTGTGATATGGTTATGGTTACTATATTTAGTTTGTGAACAATTGGGTGTTTATGGGGTTTGATTATGTTTTGGGGGGTTTTTAGAATTTTCTATTTTTAGTCTTGATTGCAGATTTTCCATATTAAACCCCATGAGGCTAGATTGATAAATGATAAGACATTATATTTGGATAGAAGTGCATTAAATTACTCTGGAGTTGTAGGACTTGACTTGTGGTGTCTTTTCAGAGTGGGTGGTGTTTTGTCGTAATTGTAGTTGGAGCATATTGAGAGGTGTTTACGTGCATTTAGGAGGATGAAATTCTGTGGAGTTTTTGCTGAAAGATGTTGAAAAGTTTGGAAATTGTTCGTATTATATTCAGGACAGTGTCTCATCTGTTGGTTGGCTCTTATTGGTGGCACTTAGAAGAGTTTTACTGGTGTTTTTACAAAATTTTCACTGTGTATTGGAATTACTTTGGATGATGGTTGTAGTGATATTTTTGTTATTTTTTAGTGGTTATGTTTCAGATAGAGTATCTTTTCCAAATGTGTGCTGTAATGCTATGGATAGTGAAGAAGAAAATGACATTTGGATAGAGATTTGTTTGCTCTACTCTTTTCTGTAATAATTGCGAGGTTGAGAAGTGGATTAGCTGGAGAAAAATTGTCCTAGTTTTGTGGTGTCATTGTGCCTCTTTTTTTGGATGACTTGTGCAAATTCTAGATATGTGTGCTCCATGGCTCTACTTATATTTTTTGGTACAGTCAGCTTGTTCACTAAGGTGTAAAAATGTGCACTGTTTTCTATAAGTAAAAAAGAAGCGCTGGGTATGCAATTCAGGAGGCCTTGTAGGCTGATCCGTCTCTTCCATTTTTTCAGAAATGTGTTGGTTTCTAGTATCTGTCTTAGAGTTGTAGGATGTTATGATAGCTGTAAATTTGCTGATATACTTCAAAACTTTGAAAGTGAACTGGTTGATTTCTAGGGGTGGGACATTTCTAAAGCTCTCCCTGGATATTATATTTTTGTTTCTGTTTTATTTTAGACTGAGATTTTTTTTTTTTTTTTTGGTTTCTAGCGAGCGGCTAATGGGTCTAGATATTTTAGAAGGCTGAGATGCCTTAGAGAATGCTCATCTATATGTCTGTCTTGATGTTAGGTCTTTGAAATGTGCTGACAAAAGGTTATCTTACATCGAATGATCTTGTTATGTTGTGATTTGAACTCGTTGGAAAGGGATTGAAGTTTCTTGAGGGTGTTGAACTTAATTCCTTTGTGTCTTCCTGTTGTTCCTGCATAAACATTTTCAGATGGTTTCATCTGATACAATCTGAGGGGCTGTTCATAAGTCGTTGAAAATGTAATTGTGTTATAATATAGTCCTCCGATGTTTCATCTTATTATTTTAAATAGGAACCTTTGCAAGTTCTTAGGTACATCACTTTGACATAGATTGTGGCCTGGAGGACACTTGTTTTGTTTTTATAAAGTTTATAATGATTGCGCAGTTGTAAATGGTATTCTTTCTTGAATTTAAATGATCAAATTGGGGATCTGATGTATTAATTATGATCTGAAGCCATCAAATTTGTAATGTTTTATTTTTAGGTATTTGTTGTTGTGGCACATTGAAGCTTTAGGAAATAAATTTTTCTCATTTGGTCATTACTTTGATTGTCATTGCTGTCAATGTTTTATTTATCTTGCTTTGGCCATTATGTATTTGATTTCAATGCTAATGTTAAAGGTTTTATTGGGCGCTTTTATCATTTTAATCTTTTGGTAATAATTTATTTTAACTTTTGTGTATTTATATGATGGTCACTGTGTATTTATATATTATCCCCATTTTCTTTCTAGATTTCTGCAATGGAAGACAGCCAATCAGTTGCTATGCTCATGGACTCTACAACCTCTAAGATACAACAACTTCAGAAAGCGTTTGCTGAACTGGAAAGTCACCGAGCCATAACCCTTAATTTGAAATGGAAGGAACTTGAAGAACATTTCCATGGCCTTGAGAAGTCCTTAAAGAGACGCTTTCATGAGCTGGAAGACCAAGAAAAGGAGTTTGAAACCAAAACAAGGAAAGCTCGAGAAATGTTGCTGAAGCGGGAAGCTGTTGTTGTGGCCAAAGAACATGCCTCTTTGGAGAAGCTCCAAAAGAAGAGAGATGCTGCCGTCTTTGCCATTACTACTGCTCTAGAGAAGCAGAGGAAAGTGTCATCTGCAGAGCCTATTGTTAGCAATGATTGTGAAATCAGGGCAGTAACTGTGGAAGACAAACTGATGGATTCTATGTCTGTTGAAAGTAACTTGGAAAGTATCAAAACCTCTTCTGAGAGTGAAAACGTGGAGCTGAAGGCTTATCCACAGTTATTTAAACTGTGTGAAGAGATGGACTCAGAAGGCTTGCACAAATTTGTATCAGACAATCGTAAGAACCTTGCTGCCCTGAAGGAAGAGATCCCACTTGCATTAAAGGCTGCAGCAGATCCAGCCCGCTTGGTGTTGGACTCTTTGGAGGGTTTCTATCATGTGGAGGTGCCAAATGTGGATGGAAAGAAAGATTCAAGCTTATTGGGTCTCCGCAGAACCTGCATTATGTTGATGGAATGCCTTAGCGTTTTGCTAGCAAATCTGGATATGGTTTCTCTTTCAGCTGTAATCTCAGAAAATGTGAAGGAGCAGGCAAAGGCAATTGCTGAAGAGTGGAAACCTAAGTTGGATGCTCTTGATGTTGAGGATAGGAATGGAAATTCCTTGGAGGCTCATGCATTCCTGCAACTTCTGGCCACTTTTGGTATTGCTTCTGATTTTAATGAGGAAGAATTATCAAGGCTCATACCAATGGTCTCTCGTCGACGCCAGACAGCTGATTTATGTCGGTCCCTTCAGTTATCAGAAAAGATGCCAGGTTTGTTCTTTCATCTGAATAAAAGGTTGGAAAATGTGGATGAAATGTTAATGCATGCCATTTTGGTCGATAACTTACCAACATTCAAACATAATATATATTTTTACCAAAATATTGTGTGATTCATAATATTCTGAGTAAACCAAAATACTATGGCATTTGTCCTAGATTTTGAATGGATGGTATTTGGTTCAGTTAGTTACCATGAAGGTGAGTTTGAATTTGGGCCTTTTGACAGCAAGAAGGTTATACATGCTATGCTCACTGTCATCTTTGTAAAATCCCCAAATAATTTTAAACACTAGATTTAATATTCCATCTTTGCTGAAATAATATTTTATTTTTATAATTTTCCTCTTAAGATAACTGCTGCAAGTGGTCCTTTTGTTTTGATTAACATCATCAACCATGATCGTCATTTGTCATGTGTTGAAAAACTTTATATGGGTAAGAATTGAAGATCAATTGAACATTTTGTATTTCCTTGAATTTTGCTTATGCCTCTTGTGGAGTAAGTTAATGAAATATTCTTTGTTGAAGTATATACTATTTAACCCTGATTGATTAATTCAACATATGGTACTTGTTGGTTGATAAAATTGAGTATTTATGTTCACTTCTATCATTTCATGTTATCTTCACTGCTCTTCATTGTTTTGCTTTGTGGGTTTGATCACTTATACAGGTGTTATTGAAGTTCTGGTTAATAGTGGAAGGCAAATTGATGCAGTTAACCTGGCTTTTGCATTTGAGCTTACTGAGCAGTTCTCACCTGTGCCTTTACTAAAATTCTACTTGAAGGAGGCTAGAAAGGCTTCTTCCCCAGGCAAGGTTGGAAATGTCTCTCCCACTGCAGAGGTGTGTTTCTTCCCAAATAATGTGTATATAATAAATGATATTTCTGCATTCCTGCTTTTATAATTCAAGTACAGTTTGGTCCACTCACACACCAAATATATGCAAGTATGGAATGTAATTTGAGAAAATATGGATATATATCAAATTATTAACATCGATCTAATATGAGGCAGCACATCAATGCTAACAAATACTCATGCATGTTCAAGGTGATACTTTGATTTGAGGTATACCAGTAATCAGACCGGCATACTACAATCATCTGGATTTATCACTTTAGAATACTGGCAGATGCTATTACTAATATAACGATAGGTTTACATTTGTAGATGCACTTGTATACATTTGACATTCTTTCTTGTGCTTCAGACTGAGGTGAGTGAACGAGAGCTAACTGCTCTTAAAGCTGTAATCAAGTGCATTGAAGAGCATAACCTTGAGGAGCAGTATCCTGTGGACCCACTCCAGAAACGTGTTGTCCAGCTAGAGAAGGCAAAGGCAGATAAGAAAAGAGCAACTGAAGCTGCAAAGCCTCAACCAAAGAGACCCCGTGCTAATGGTGCAGGATATGGGCCTCGAGTCACTAACGTTGCTGCTGACAAGACATTCTATCCCACTAGAGTCACAGATAGGTATCCACAGTACTTGTATGACAGACCATACGTTTACACCGGACCTGCTGACAACCATGGTCCGTCTCTCCTGGGTTCTGCTACTTACAGCTTCTCTCCCAGTCATGGCAACTACTTTGGAAATGGCTACCAGTACCAGACCCCTTATCTTCACTAATTCGGTAAAGATGGCAGAAAGCAAAGGTGACTATGATCCTCATTTAACTGTTAGCCTTTAACCACTGAGTTCCCTGAAACCTTGCAGTGTATGAATGAATTTAGTATTTGATAAAAAAAAAAAAAAAAAAAAAACAAAAAAAAAAAAAAAAAAAGACACCATGTTAATTTAGTGTACTGTTGTACAAGAAGATATTTTGATCCTCTAATATATGCACTTTGTTTCTGTATGTATATATATTTGTCCTGTGTTTCATATTTTGATTTGATATGGAAAGAACATGAAACAAGCAAATTATGAGAAATCAAGGAGCGTGCAGTCGCCTCTTATCTTGAGGACTGGAGATCAAGATTCAGGGATTAGTCTTTGTTTAAGCAGCTTGTAAATGGGCTGATTGTTAAGATCATTTTTTACTCTTAGTGACAGCGGGGTTGGGACATGTGCAGAAGGAATGCACCAATAAATCCTAGAAAAAGAACTTATAGAATTTGCACCAAATCTATAAGGGGCGCTGGGTTAGGGGTAATGTGAGATTATTAGGGTTATGTCATCTTATGTTATTTAATTATCACGTTTGGTTGTCAAATAATATAAAATTTCGGTAATCTTCAAATACCAATAGTAGTTACTGTTGATAATATTGGAGGTAATCTGATTACTTTTATTTTCTTAGGTACGGTAAGATTATCAGGGTAATCTTGTTTTTGTTACAATTATATCCCTTATTAATAAAATTTTATAACAATAATGCTCTTATTTTTAAATTTATTCACATGAATGTTGCTTTTATTATTTCACCCCAATTAATTAATTTTTTGGATAAAATTACCCTTGAATTCAAAATAAATTGCAGCCTATCCAAGTCACCACCCCCACCCAGCTGTCGTCGGCAACTGTCGTTGCAATTGGAACGGTGCACGGAAGGCTGAAAATGGTCGTCATGCGTCGATATGGTCATTTTCGGTTAGATATCTAGTCAGATTGTGCCAGATCTAGTCGTTAACGGCCATCGATCTGGTCGTTGACTGTCAGATCGACGGATCTGGCCGTTGACGACCAGATCTATCATCGTTCTGGCCGTCAAAGGCCAGGTCCGTCATCGATCTGGCTGTCAAAGGCCAGGTTCGTCATCGATCTGGCCGTCAAAGGCTCAAAGGCTAGATCCGTCATCAATCTGGCCATCAAAGGCCAAATCTCTGGCCGAAAATGGCCATACAGTGCACGGAGGCTATTTCCTGTCTTTCGTGCGTCGTTAGGTTGTCGGCGGCCTCGATGGTTGTCAACGGTCGACAGTGGCTGAGTTGTGGGGGTGCTTTATTGATTTTCCAAACTTTTATTATGGGATTGTTTTTGCTAGGTTTTTAAATGCGCCCCCCGGGGGGGGGGGTGTTGGTTATCAATATTAAAAAATAATATAATAATAATATTTAATTAGAGGATAATTCAGTCATTTATATAACATACCCAATAATTTATTTCTCTTAACCAAACATATTAATATAACATACCTACCAATTAATCAAACACATTTTCCTAAAGATTTCCAATAATCTTCAGGGGTCATTTGGTTGGGGGTTATCTGGGATTACTAGGGTTAAGTCATTTTATATTACTTGATTACCATGTTTGGTTGTCAAGTAATATAAGATATTAGTAATCTTCAAATACCTGTAGTGGTTACTATTGGTAATATTGGAGGTAATCTGATTATCTCAATTTTCTCAGGTATTCTAAGATTACCAGGGTTATCTTTTTTTGTTACAATTCTATTCCTTATTAATAAAATTTTAGGACAATAATGCCCTTATTTTTGAATTTATTTACATGAAAATGGCTTTTACTATCTCACCCCAATTAATTAACATTTTGGACAAAATTACTCTTAAATTCAAAACAAATTACAGCCCACCTAGGCCACCACCNACATGTGCAGAAGGAATGCACCAATAAATCCTAGAAAAAAAACTTATAGAATTTGCACCAAATCCATAAGGGGCGTTGGGTTAGGGGTAATATGAGATTATTAGAGTTATGTCATCTTATGTTATTTAAGTATCACGTTTGGTTGTCAAGTAATATAAAATTTCAGTAATCTTCAAATACCAATAGTAGTTACTGTTGGTAATATTAGAGGTATTCTGATTATTTTTATTTTCTTAGGTATTGTAAGATTATCAAGGTAATCTTGTTACAATTACATTCCTTATTAATAAAATTTTAGAACAATAATGTTTTTATTTTTAAATATATTTACATTAATGTTGCTTTTATTATTTCACCCCAATTAATTAATTTTTTGGATAAAATTGTCTTTGAATTCAAAACAAATTGTAGCCCACCCAAGTCACAACCCCTACCCACATGTCGTCGGCAACTGTCGTTGCAATTGGAATGGTGCACGGAAGCCTGAAAATTGTCGCCATGTGTCGATATGGTCATTTCCGGTTAGATATCTGGTCGCTGACTGCCAGATCGACGGATCTGACCGTTGATGACCAGATCCATCATCATTCTGGTTGTCAAAGGTCAGGTCCGTCATCGATCTGGTCGTCAAAGGCTAGGTTCGTCATCGATCTGGCCGTTAAAGGCTCAAAGGCTAAATCTGTCATCGATCTGGCTATCAAAGGCCAAATCTCTGGCCGGAAATGGCCATACAGTGCACGGAGGCTATTTCCTGCCTTCCGTGCGTCGTTAGGTTGTCGGCGGCCTTGATGGTTGTTGACAGTGGTTGGGTTGTGGGGGTGCTTTGTTGATTTTTCAAACTTTTATTATGGGGTTGTTTTTGCTACGTTTTTAAATGCGGGGGGAGGGGGGGGGGAGGGGGTTGTGTGGTTATATAATCCAAATAATAATCAGGGAGCGTTTGGTTGGGGGTTAAGTGGGATTACTGGGGTTATGTCATCTTATATTACTTGATTACCATGTTTGGATGTCAAGTAATATAAGATACCGGTAATCTTTAAATACCAATAGTGGTTACTATTGGTAATATAAGAGGTAATCTGATTACCTCCATTTTCTTAGGTATTCTGAGATTACCAGGATTATCTTTTTTTGTTACAATTTTATCCCTTATTAATAAAAATTTTAGACAATAATACCCCTACTTTAAAACAAATTTACATACATATTTTATTTCAATTTGCCCTTGTAATTAAAATTTTGACAATATACCCTATATTTAAAATAATTTACAGACCACTACTCACCCAGCCACCACCGCCACTGCCACCCAGCACCACCACGGCACAGCCAACCACCACGGACCACCGTCGGAAAATCGTCAGAGTCCTTGAAAAGGAACGAAATTCCGTGGGAGGTTCCGGAGGCTTCGATATGGCCAAATGGCCAGATCTATTCGGCCATTTCCAGTCAGATCGATGGAACTGGCCGTTAACGCCAGATCCTTGGCCATTACGGCCAGGTCTGGGCAGATCTGGCCGTTAACGACCATGTCCGTGGCTGTTAACGGCCAGATCTAGCCCGACCTGGCCGTTAATGGCCAGATCCATCGATCTGGCCTGATATGGCCGTTTTCGGCCATCGAAATGGCCGAAACGGCCATATCGAGCCTCTTCGTCATGGTGAGGTACTCACGGGTGCTTTCGGAGATTTCCGGTGGTGGTTTGCGGTGGCGGCAGGAGGTGGGGTGATTTCGTCATAAATTAAAGTTTTATATAACGGGGGGTTTTAGCTAAACTGAAATATTGGAGGTTAAATAAATTATTCAAAATTAAATAAAAATACTTATATTAATATTTAAAAGGGGGACAATTTAGTAATTTAAATAATATAGGCTGCGTTTGTTTCAGTTTTGGGAATACTACTTTTAGTGTTCCCAAAAAAGTTAACAGTAAAATACCCAAAAACTCAGATTTTTTGGAATACTACTCACAATATTATTCAAATTTTTTAAAACCCCTTAAATTTGATAATTTAATTAAATACCCCTAAATATTTTTTTAAAATTACAAAAACACCCCAATAATCCACATTTGCCAATTCCGGCCACCACCACCGGAAAATTGCTGGAATCTGGTAGGATGGCGCACTACCGGCTGAATCTGGCCGTAGTGCGCCGATCTAGCCTTTTCCGGCCAATCCACCTGGATCTGGCCGGAAAAGGCCAGATCTTTGGCCGTAACACTCGGTCACGACGGCCAACAAACTTCGTCGTTTACGCCAGATCTGACTGTAGATCTGGCCTTTTCCGGCCAGATCCACCGTGGATCTGGCCGGAAAAGGCCATAGCGACGCATGACCGGCAAGATCCACCGGTCTGCGCCCATACGGCGACTCCGGCCACCTCCGGTGGTGGTCGCGCGCTTGGGGTGTTTGAGGGTGGGTTTTACGGGGGGGGTATTTTTTGTTAACTTTTAATGTTTTATTATAGGGGGTATTTTGTAAAAAAACAAACATAAAGGGTATTTTATTGATTTATAAATTCTACATCGTAATACCCGCCCAATTCAACTTTTTTCAAAAAACTTTTCCCAAAACCCCCAAATTTTGAACCAAACGGAGCCATACCCACCAATTTATTCCCCATAACCAAACATATTCATATAACATACCCATCAACTAACCAAACACATTTTTTTAAAGATTCCCAGTAATCTTCTAAGGTAATCTATCATCCCAGTAATCTAACATTCCTAGTAATCTAACATTCCTGAACCACACGCCCCCTCAATATTACAAAATAATATAATAATAATATTTAATTAGAGGATAATTCAGTAATTTATATAATATACCCACCAATTTATTTCTCCCAACCAAATATATTAATATAACATACTTACCAATTAATCAAACACATTTTCTTAAAGATTTCCAATAATCTTCAGGGGGCGTTTGGTTGAGGGTTATCTAAGATTACTAGAGTTATGTCATCTTATATTATTTGATTACTATGTTTGGTTGTCAAGTAATATAAGATACTGGTAATCTTCAAATACCAATAGTGGTTACTATTGGTAATATTGGAGGTAATCTGATTATCTCCATTTTCTTAGGTATTCTAAGATTACCAAGGTTATCTTTTTTTATTACAACTATATCCCTTATTAATAAAATGACAATAATACCCTTATTTTTGAATTTATTTACATGAAAATGGCTTTTACTATCTCACCCCAATTAATTAACATTTTGGACAAAATTACTCTTAAATTCAAAACAAATTACAGTCCACTTAGGCCACCACCCCCACCCACATGTCTTCGCTTGTCGCCGGCAACCACCGTTGCGGCCTGTCATCGTCGACACTAGAACGGCGCATGGAAGGCCGAAAATGACCGTCGTGTGCCGATATGGCCGTCAACGGCTAGATCAGTTGATCTAGCCGTCAACGGTCAGATCGATGGTCATTGATAGCCAGATTAGATCTGGCCGTCGACGACCATATCTATCACGTCTGGCCATTTCTTGCCTTCTATGCGTCGTTAGGCCGACGGCCTGTGGTGGTTTTCGGCAGTCAGCAGTGACTGGGTTGGTGGGGGTGCTTTGTTGATTTTTCAAACTTTTATTATGATGTTGTTTTTGCTAAGTTTTTAAATGTAGGGGTGTTACAATAATTAATATTAAAAAATAATATAATAATATTTAATTAGTGGACAATTCAGTAATTTAAATAACATATCCATCAATTTATTTCTCCCAACCAAACATATTAATATAACATACCCATCAATTAACCGAACATTCTTCTAAAGATTCTCAATAATCTTCAAAGTAATCTATCTTCCTAATAACCCAATATTCGCTGAACCAAACACCCCTTTACGACATTTGCCATGACTCTATTTGTCTCCAACATCAAAACTTCAATTTGCAACCGCGCTCTTACACTCCTCAAATTGAAATAATGTCTTAAGTTCTATCTACTTCTTCCCCATCTTTGCTAATCTATCTCTCCATTCTTTCTCTCCTCCATCACATTCACAGTTAGTGTGGTAGAGGTGATTCACCGGTTTCTGACAAGTGACAAGGAGAGTGCCGGTGGTGACGGCAAGCGCCAAGGAAAGGTGATTCACTGGTGAGGGCCGTGAATTGACTGACAATGCATAATTCTTTAGGTTTTCAAGAGATAAGTTAACATTTATATTTTAATAATAAAAGTTTATTTTATATATATATATATATCTTAAATAAGAAAATTACTATAATTATTAATTAATTATATTTTTCAATTAAATATACTTATAATTTTTTTGAGTACGGTTTTTTTTCTTTTTAATCTATGCATTTACTTTATTTCTCCTTGTACCCGATATTGGGGACATCATTTGTTCCTAATCCATATCCCTAATCTTGAAAAATCTCAAAAAATTATCAGTTCGATAATATAGGAATTTTTTGGGTAATAAACTCCGTTGGGTTTTATAGTGTAATAATAAGTGATAAATTATTTATTTTTGCAAATAAAATATCTGAATTTTTTTTCATTAAGTAAAAAAAAAAAAATTCCGTACTCAATTTTTTAGAAAAAAAAAAGTTAATATTAGGTTGAAAATCAAATACAAAAGGAAACAAATTAAATCATATTAAATAAATAAATAAAAACAGACTTCCCTCCAAAGTCCAAACTCTACTCTCAAATAAATAGTCATTCCCTCCAAAACACTCGCATTCAAATTTTACCCACATTTGAAAATGAGAATCGCCGAGATTTCGTCACCGGAGATCCGGCAACAATCCAGCCACAACCTCCACCACTGCCTCATCTCTCAACTCGACTCTTTAATTAAACAAACCGAAAATCACCACTCTCCTAACAACCTTTCCACTCTCTCCTCCGATCTCAAACAAACCCTAACTCAACTTACTCAACTTGCTCCCTTTCCCAACAACTCACTCAAGCTTCAACTCTGGAAACTCGCCTACCGGCTCTGGAACTCTTGCGTCGATCTCTCAAATGCCGCCTCCATTTCCCGCTCTTCCTCCGCCGACGAACACATCGCCATTCTTCGCCACGTTGCCGCCGATCTCCTCTCCCTCGCTGCTGACGTCTCCGGCGTTCCTTCTCCCGCCATCAAGTCCGCCTCCTTCTACTACAAAACCGGTCTCATCTGGCACAATCTCAGAAAGTTCGATCTCGCTTCGATTTGTTTTGAAAAAGCCACGGAGATTGTATCCAAGCTCGATATTAAGAAGATTTCCGACTGGGGAGAGAAGAAAATGATATTAGATATAAATATCGCGAGATCTCGGACTGCCTGGGAAGTTCTTGACCGAAAAATCGCGATAAATTTACTCAACCGAGCCAAATGTCTTCTCTTCGGCTCGTTTGACCATTACAAAGCGCTTGCGAATCAGTTCTTGATGTTTGGCAAGAGCATTTTATCAAAACACGACACCGCTTCATTAAACGATGCGCTGAAGCTGATGAACGAAGCGTTGGATCTCTGCGAGAAGGGATTGGATGAAGTGAGAACGCGTGAAGAGATGTCGGAGCTCAAGGATTTAAAATTCAAAACGCTGCGTTTCATATCGGCGGTTCATTTGCAAAAGGGAGAATACGAGAGCGTGATCAAGTGCGTGAGGGTTTTAAGAGAGGGTAGTTTCGGAAACGGTGGTGAGGTTGGGGACCACCACGCGAGTTTGCCGGTTTTGGCAATGAAGGCGTGGCTGGGTTTGGGGAGATACAGTGAAGCGGAGAAGGAGCTGAGGGACATGGTGGTAATTAAGGGGGTTCCGGAGACTATTTGGGTGTCGGCGGTGGAGGCTTACTTTCAGGCGGCGGGAACGGCGGGTGCTGAGACTGCAAAAGGTGTGTTTCTGGGACTGTTGGGACGGTGCCACGTCAGTGCCAAATCTGCGGTCAGAGTGGCCCACAGGGTTGTTGGAGATGATGGGGATGGCGTTAGTGCAGGGGCAGCCAAAGTGAGGGCCAAGGTGGTGGCAGAGTTGGTATCTGATGAGAGAGTACTGGCGCTTTTTGCCGGTGATGCCGCGGCCAAGGATAGAACCACCATGCATGCCGTTTTGTGGAATTGGTAATTTAATGTTTTTTTGTAAGGGATTACACACAATGGATGAAATTGCCGCTAACGATATTAATTCTTAATAATTCTAGTTCTGCTTTATTTGATAATCTTATTTTAATTATAGGATAACAAGAAAAGTTATCTAACCCTTCAAAATCAACCATTAGATAATCTGGGATATAAATCTCAACTCTGTAACTTCGTATGTTTAACTACATTTAATATTAAGTCAGGAAAATGGTCTATGCGTTTATTTGTATGGGTTAGAACTGACTCGAAAATATTACAATTTTTTTGTATGGGTTTTCTACGCGTTTTTGTACTTTAATCTTAATGTGCAGTAAACCTATCGTTGTCCTCGAGTCTGCGGTGTTATTCATTTTTCTTTATTTGTCTTTTGTAGTGCTTCGAATCATTTTCGAGTGAAAGACTATGAGATGAGTGCAGAGATGTTTGAGAAATCGATGCTATATCTTCCATTTGACTTAGAAAATAGAAACCTCCGAGCCAAGAGCTTCAGAGTTTTGTGTCTCTGTTACCTTGGACTTTCTCAGCTTGATCGAGCTCAAGAATACATCATTGAGGCAGAAAAGGTATTTTGTTTAATTGTTATCTAGAGACTAGAGTTTGTTGGTCTATAAGATAATCTATATCTTTAATTACCTATGAACCAAGTCATATTCAACTGTGTTTACTCTTTTTCCTTGTGCAGCTTGAACCCAACATAGGCTCTGCTTTCCTTAAGGTGCTTTCTCTCTATCAAAAACACTTGCACGCACACTTTGCAAATTGCAATCTGAAACAATTTCACTGATAATTTGGTGCTAAACTCAGATTACATAAACACAATATCAAAGTCTCTGTGAGTTCATTTTCTAATGGTTAAATACCAACACGATGTTTCTTCTGTTTTGAGCAGTTCAAAGTCCTTCTGCAAAAAAAGGACCATAAGAATGCTATTAATCAAATCCTGGCAATGACAATCTGCCTCGACTTCACTCCAGACTTCCTTTCCCTTTCAGCCCATGAAGCTGTTGCTTGCTGTGCTCTTCCAGTTGCTGTTGCCGCTCTATCCAATCTCCTAAACTTCTACACGTCAGGACCATCCATGCCATCCATGCCAACAACAGAAGTTGTAGTTTTACGTACCTTAGTTACAATCCTGACTCAAGAACCAGGCAATGAGTCAGAAATCCTCAAATACGTGAAACGAGCTCATACGCGGGCATCTGAACTTGGGCCTGACTATTTTTTTGGCAAAGAGGAGGCTGGAAGACGAGAACAGAATTGGTTTGCAGTGATGTCTTGGAATTTTGGGACAAAATGTGGGAAGGAGAAGAATTATGAATTGTGTGTTGACTTTTTGAGATTCGCTTCAGAATTTTTTGGTGGTTTGGTTGATGGGAAAGTGGAAGAAAATAGTGTCATGGTTTGCAAATCATTAATTCTTACTGTATCTGCCATGATAGCCTTAGAGAATCAAAAGCAGACTGCATTGGAGGACACTGAAGTGAAACAAGCTGTTGAACTGCTAGAAAGATCGGAGAAGGTACTGTATGGTTGTAAATAAACCAAGCCTTGCTACTTCTGTTCGAAATTGTGGAAGCCTATGCCTCATGCTTTACAATTTCTTCTGTTGAAACTCTCTTCACTCCCATATATGCTTTTGGTTTTTCGTTGCAGATACTGACTTCATTGTCACCGGGGTCTATGGAGTCCGAACTCTACTTCATGTATACATTCACCGCCTATGATATACAAGGGAGGCTCAACAATCCAGAATCTCAACAACTCCTTGTAAAGAAATTTGCCAGCTCAAAGGCTTGCACTCCCAAAAACCTCCTCCAGATTGGCCTCGCTGCCTCACAGGGTCCAAGGTCCAATCCTCAAGTAGCCACCTTCGCTCTTAATGAGAGCCTCTCAGCTCTGCTTTCTTGCCCCTCACCTGACTACCAAAACGTGGCCCTAACCGTCCGCAAGCTAATCGCAGTAGCCAGCATTCACAGAGGCGAAACAGATGATGATGCAGTGCACAGTATGTACAAACAAGCGTATCGAATAATGGTGGGGCTTAAGGAAGGTGAGTATCCCTCAGAAGAAGGAAAATGGCTTGCAATGACTGCATGGAACCGCGCAGCAGTGCCGGTGAGGCTGGGGCAGATTGAGCTTGCAAGAAAGTGGATGAATGCTGGAGTGGAAATTGCTGGGAAAGTTGTTGGAATGGAGACTTACAGGGCATGCATGGAGGATTTCATTTCTAGTTTCGAAAATAAATGTCATGAGCACAAAAACCATACTAGTGAAAGCAGGCCTCTGATGGTGTTATGATCCATTATGTGTACGTCTTACAGAAATCACCAGTGGTACATCTATTTTGTAAATTGTAAAGAAACTTATATGCACTATTAAATACATACTCAAAAGAGACTGTAAGGTTAAGAATTATATATCCATGAAAAGCTCAAGTGTTAGACGTTGCATATTTTTGGGTTAATTTTGTGTTTTTTTCCTATTATTTATAAAATTTAGGTCAAATTTTGGCTTCCAGTAATTAGTTAAAGGCAAGGTTTTAAAACCCAGTCTAGGGTGAAACCTAACAAAGCGGCCGGATTTCGGATTGATTGGTTGAATCAGTTTGATTGACGGGTCAAACAGGTGATGTCAACATGTAAAAAAGTTTAAAATCTAACAAAAACACCCTTAAAAATTACATAAGTCTTTATAGGTTTGAAATCTTACAGAAACACCCTAAATTATATCGCCGGCTTCAACAACTCAGCTAAATAGGGATTGTTTCCAGTGTTGACAACATACCCTATCATCACGAAAACTCTCCTCTCAAACTCTTGACCAAAACCTATCTCAACCCACCTCATTCGCCTCACCAATCGTTGGTAGTAGCTTGTTGTTGTCAATTTATTTTTGCAATTTTTGGTCGTTTGACTCACTAGAAAATCACCTTCATCGCCACCCTTCCTCTTCAAACCCCCCAACATCCAAGCCACCAATTGTTCGCCGATCGTTGTCCTAATTTCTAGGGTTTGCCATGAACAGTAAAATTGGTAACCCGGCCTGGTGAATGCCTCGGGTCCTAGTTAAACCGACCGAGTTGGACAGGGTTTTAAAACACTAGTTAGAGGTGGACAAATGTAGCATGGATCGGTTATTTGGTTGAATTATTCAGTATAAGAAAACTTTCTAAAAAAAACAATATCTTACTATGCCATGTAAATTTAAAAATTGAACTGTAAAACTTGGTTAGTTGTGGTTTTATTTTATCGATTTTAGTTGAGGGGTTTTTTTTTTTTTAATTATTTTCAAGGGCATTTTATAGATTTTAGGGGTTTTTTTGGTCATTTCAGGTAATTTAGAAAAATTAAAAAATTAATGGTCGGATACCATATGGTTTGGTTCAAATAAACCAAGAACAAAAAATCGTTCTGTACAATATGTGGTTTTTTTTTTGGGCCCCTACAAGTAGTAATTTCTCTGATTCTCGGGCTTGTCCGGGCGGACCTCAAAGGCCTTATCCCTCATTATTAGCCCAACCATTTCTACTCTTATCGTCTCCCTCTTCCTCTTCCTCTCACTCCTCCATGCTAATTATGGAGTCTCTTTCTTTGCTCCTCTCATCCTCTCCACCTCTTCAAAACCACCCTAGAACCCTTAAATCTACCTCCTCCAAATCCACTTCTATTCTCCCCAACTCTCTCTCTCTTTCTTCTTCTTCAACCCATTCTTCCACCACCCAAATAAACGATCTTTCTCTTCTCAAAACTTTAACCAAAACCCATCTCTCTTTCACCATAGTTGACCTCTTTACTTCTCTCCCTTGCCTTGCAGCTGAAACTGTTGTCTCTTCAACCGAACCGGCTTCAGACAAAATAAACTTGGAGTCAATCTTAATCTCCATTGATGACTTCTTCAACAGATACCCTTTCTTTGTTGCTACCTGTACATTCATTTGGCTTTTTGTTATACCCTTAACCCAACAGTACTTAAGCAAATATAAGTTGGTCTCTGCCATTGATGCTTTTAGGAAACTCCGTGATGACCCTAATGCTCAGCTTCTCGATATCAGGAACACCAAGACTTTGGTGTCTCTGGGGTCTCCCAATTTGAAATCTTTAAGCAAGAGTGTGGTTCAGGTTCAATTTACTGAAGGAGATGAAGATGGGTTTGTTAAGAATGTGTTGGATAATTTTGCTGACCCTGCAAATACTGTTCTCTGTATTATGGACAAGTAAGTTTATTTATTTATTTATTTTTTTTAATAGCAGAAACTTAAGTTTTTGGTCTTACTATAAAGAGAAATATGCAAATTGGAGATTGAATTAATGGTTGATGATTGGAATTTTGTTTCATTAGTAATAATGTTTTTGTGTGTAAGGTAGTTTTGAAGGTAATTCCTTGACTGCGGCGGAGTTGTTGTTCAAGAATGGGTTCAAAGAGGCTTATGCAATCAAGGGTGGGGTTAGAGGCAAACAAGGGTGGTTGGTATGTTACTACTTTCTAATCTTCCATCACTTTCCTGTTAAATGCTTCGGCCTTCCATTATGCGCACTGAGATGCGTTGTGATATGCATTTGATACTATTTTGTTGATGTTCTTGATCCATTATTTTTAAGCCTCCTGAAAGATGTCACTTCGGCCAGATGGTTGTTTAATTCGTTAGCATTTAGTGGTTGCTTGGCGGTAATCAACTTTTGCATTTGGTGTACATTTGTGATTTGTTCATTTTTTTTGTTCTCTATAATTCACAAGAAACCTTAGACAATCTTTCGCCTTAGAGTTGAGAAACACAATTTAAACCATGGAAGACATTGGTAAAATAAATAAACTAAGCATGGTGTTGGACATCAGTTCGACTGAAGAAAGCCTTATATTCGAACTCTGTTGGCTCAGATTCTCAGAAATAATTACTATATACTAGATCCAAAGTATGTAGTTTAGATTGACAGATTAATACTATTATTTTATGGCCAACTGAGAATTTTATCTTCAGCTGATTAGATACCATATAAAATAGGCTTTACTTTGTTGATGGAGGTAAACGAGTCAACCCTTCTTGCCCACTTCCCAATTTCTCTATCTTCTGCTTTTATATGTGCATAAACTTTTATTCATTATTAAGGCCAATGTATATGTTCAACTACAGTCTGTATTTGTTAATAAGTAGATGTCGAAGTTTTATCTATTAGATGATGAAATCTGAGTGGGACATCTTACAGCCGTGTTAGGATTCCATTTTTATTCTAGCAAAAGAAATATGATTTTAGCACCAAGACTCATATCTTCGATTTGATTTCATTTGGTCTCTCCCGTGGATCTCATTCTAGTAGTTGGCCCTCGACTTATTATGTTTTACGTTTGTTTTCTTGCAGGAAATACAGGATACCTTATTGCCACCTTCTGTACACATCATACCAAGGAAGAAAAAGAAGGTTAAAGTTTCGCAAAAGCTTGGGATAAATGGAGTTAACCAACAATCTGGAGATAAAAAGGAGGACTCCTCATCTGTAAGTGTCGCTATTGTACAAAGCCAAATGGAGAACAATGTGCATTTAAACAACTCTACAAACATAAAAATTGGCTCAAGATCATCCTCTTTCTACCAAATGTATGATCATTCTTTCTCGTTGTCTCTCTTTTGCATCAGCAAATGTGAGATATTATAATATTCTAAATTTCATGTTCAGTGAGGCATGTGGATTTTATGTATGGCCTATAGTCCTGTTAGATTGGTTGTGCATATGACATATCTGTAGTGATATGTGCATTTGGAAATTAAATCAAATTGGTCAATGAATATGAATTGCATTATAAGCATCATGGAGTCGATATGGAACCACAGGAATTACCCTTATAAAACATGCATAGTGCTACAATCAAAGCACAAAAACTGTACCAACAAATAAGCTTAGTACTAACTTTATTTCTGTGCATTTGTAAAGTACCCAGATCTGAAACCACCATCCTCGCCGACGCCATCAAAGCCATGAAACCAATGCTACAAGGATCTTGCTCAAACTCAATCATCTTTGAGATTCATCTTCTGGTAAGCCATGAAACTCAAGGATCAAAGCGATGAAACTGATGCTTCAAGGATCTTGCCGAAACTCAATCATCTTTGAGATGCATCTTCAGTTAATTATACGAGCTGGTTTCCAATTTTGTCCAAGTACTCGTGGTGTATAAGTGTTGTGCACTTCCAAGTACTTGTGGTGTATAAGTGTTGTGCACTTGTGCTATACTGAGAATATTGATAGTAATTATTCTCAACTTTGTATAAAATGTGAAGGTGCATCCCTGCTTTTGGAATTTGATTCATTTGCAAATTCTGTCAACCAGTTTTATGATATTGATTCCTTGTTTAGTTAATTTTTATGAAGGATTTATGCACCCATTGACAATATATATATATATTATCGAGTTTGATAACTAGTTATAGCAAATTTATTAATTAATTTAAATTAAATTTCATGTAAATTTGTGTACTTAATATTACATGGGGTACATGCATATTTGATCATATTATAAAGTATGAGTAAGCGACTTTTTTAATTCCACTCAAATAATAGCTTAATGGTACTTTTTCACCTAAATTTAATATAATCAACTTAGATTGAATTATATTCAAATTTTATTCCGTTTTTTATTCTAGTATCGTTACGACCCTACACAACTATCATTCTCTTCCTCAACCATCACCAAAATCTCTCAAACTTTACTCTTGTCGACCCCATCGATCGAGTAATTAGGGTTTGTATAATCGCTCCTCTCAAGTCAAATTTCTATCAATCTCAACTACTAAAATCCAACTTTCTAACATTAAAAGACTCATCGACCTCTCCTCTTAAAAAACTTCAATAGTTTGGACCGAATTTGCTCTCTGTCCGTTGAAATATAAATTTGGATTATAAAATAATATTTTAAAAGGTTGCAGATGAGAAAGTGTTATTAAGTCATTAGTTAGGTGGAAAAAAGACGTTAACTCTATAAAGTATCACCTATGAATTTATTAGAAACAATTAACAGTGAAATTGACTAACATGAATAAAAAAAATCTTGTAATTGTTATAAAACTAAAGTTATAAAGAAAAATAATAATAATAATATATAAGACTGAATTTCATTATTTTCTTTTGGATTGGCATAATATCTCGATTCATATTTTCGGCCGAAAGAAATCTCAATTTATAAACTCATAATCATATGCATATAATAATAATAATAATAATAAATATTTACAGATTTTCATAAAACTATCCCTAAGGTTTAGTTAATACTCAAATTTATGGTATTTTTACAAGAAATCATAAAAAAAAAAAGTACCCTTAAACCTCAACGTTATTTAATTTTGTTAAATTAAAATTTGACATTTATATAAATTTACTAATTTAAGTTAACATTCAAGGGTAATTTAGTCATTCAATTTGATATATTTTATAAAAATAACTTAATTTACCAGACGGCAAGACTTAAGTCATCTGGGTAGGTTACAAAGTATTTAATAGGCCTTGAAGATTAGTTGAGATGCATGCAAACTGACCAACACACCCAATTATTAAAAAAAAAAAACTGGCCCATTAGGCTTATAAGGTGTTCAAAGCTATCCCAAAAATCCTCCTGCCATATTTTAAAAAATTTTATAAATTATTATTTAAAGAGTAATGTTACACTTACAAAGATCTCCATACAAAATTTATTTATAAGTATAGTGTTATTGTTATTTAAATATATAAAAGAAATGTCATCTATATGGGGCCCATTTGATTGGAGTTAATATTAGGTTATTGGGTAATGTCATATTTTATTACTTACATTAGAGCATCTCCAAATGACTATTTATATGACCCAAAACTCTTTGTTATGAAGAGTTTATCTATAAAAACAAGAGTCTAAATGTTCTTTATCTTTAAAATATAAATTACAGAGTGAGTTTGACTCTACATTTAGAGAGTCAAATTTGACTCTCAATCCTAATTTTAATTAATAAACTATAAGTTCTTATGCATTTTATTTATTAATTCTTTTTCCCATTAAGTCTCTTTCTTAAAAATAAAGAGCATCTTCATTAAATTTAAAGAGTCTATTGGATTTAAATAAAAATTGTTTTCTTTATATTTAAAAATTAATGAAGATACTCTTTATTTATATGAAAGATGCTCTTCAAAATAAAGAGCATTATTGGAGATGCTCTTACCATGTTTGGTTGTCAAGTAATATAATATTCTTGTAATCTTTCAAAACTAATAGTAATTATTGTTGGTTATATAGGTGATAATTTGAATCCTACTATTTTCCTAAGTATTTTAATTTTTAAAATTACTTGATAATCTTAATTTGGTTACAATTTTACCTCTAAATATTAAATTTTTTGGACAATGATGTCCTTGTTTTGAAAACAATTAACAAAAATATTCATGTACTATTTTATTCTTATATACAAATTTTTTAGGATATAAATACTCTTGAACTTAAAAACAATTACCCAAGACGGGTGGTTAAATCTAGCCACCACCGCTGGTCACTGACCATTAGCACCAAAATAGCTCACGACCCATCGGATCTAATCGACTGTGCACCAATTTGGCTGAAAATGACCAGATCTATTTTGGTCGTTTCCAGTCAAATTCGTTAATCAAATCGTTAACGGCCAGGTCGATGTGTAGTCGACTAGATCCGACTAGTCATATGCCGTTCCAACCACGGTCGTGAGCCATCAATAATGGTGGTTGACTGTCGATAGTGGCTTGGGTGATTGAAGTCTTTTTGTTAATTGTTAAACTTTTATTACAAGAGTGTTTTAGCTAAACTCTCAAATATAAAGAGTTCAAAAATAATCTAAATAATAATATTAAAATAAAAGAATAATTCAATAATTTATATAACATATCACTAATTTATTTATTCCAACTAAATATATAAATAAAATATACTCACTAATTTATTTCAATCCAATCAAATACATTTAATATATCATAAATTTGTTAAGGCAATTTATCTCCCCGTTACATTCCAATTGATACAAAATTCCTTAAACCATACCCACCCTAATGTAATCAAACTACGTCTCCAAAATTTATAAAACCAAGCTTTTGGCGAGGGAAAGCCAATTGCTTCAAGGAGCGAGATCAACGACCCAAGACATTAAACGAGGTGAGATAGTTCTATTATAATAATCTTTCGTCTCAAGATCATTAAAATTTTCAGTTTTTAGATGCGAATTTCTTGTCCTGGGTTTAGTTGTTTTTGAATAACTATTGCGTCCTTCACGAATTTCTAACTGTTTTCACCATTTTAAATAACTGGGTTATTGTAGTCGAAGTTGAAACTCATGGATATATTGTCTTGGGATGGAGCCCTTTCGTCAAGTGAATTTTCTATTGCTGCTCACGATTTCATTGAGAAATGGAAAAAATTCAACCCCACTTATCCTCCATGGTCATGGGTTACTTGCAAAAAAAAATCTTGCGTTGCTTCTCATGAGGTTCATTTTAATTAACTATTCTGTCACCTTTTGCTGTGTTTATTTCTGGGTCTAAATCTTTTACATAATTTTTACTCTTTTATAGGTTGAGAAATATTTGTCACTGGAGAACATTTCCCTTCTCAGTTTACGTGAGGTTTGGCCTTTTTGTTAGTTCTTGATGCTATATTGAAATTAGTTCTTTAATGGCAGAATTGATGTTACAAAGACTGTTATTGTTTTAATAGGAAGATCATGGTGATGAAAGTCAAATAGGGGAAGAAGAAATTAGCTGTTCTAAGGAAGAGGAGCCCATTGATTCTGCTACTTTAGTATGTATATATGAACTAATTTAATTGCTTGGGTAGGACTCTTTCTGATTTAGTACTTTTGGTTCTTGTTTCTTTTTGTTTTGTTGATCATCATCTTGTTCTAATTTGAAGGTTGAGAGTTTTGATCGTGAAGTACATTACTACGACTTTCATATAGTGTACAGTGCTTCATATAGGGTTCCAGTGCTCTATTTCCGTGCATTTTTTAGTGGTATGCTATTCTCTATGTGATCAATTATTAACAGAGTAGAATGTGGTAATTTTGCATTATGGTAAACTTATATATATATTTCAACCAAAATAATTGTGAATGTATTTATAATATTAATATGATGAAACGTGAAGTTTTGGTAATGCCTTATGTATATCCATGTCTAATATTACTTTAGTGACAACTGTTCTGCTTAGTCATTCTACAAACAAACAAATATGTATACAATGAATTTTTTTATTTGGAAGGGATGAGTTAGAGGTGAGGGTGGGGAATATTTTTGGTTGTTTCTCATGATGTGTTAGATTAAATGTTAATGTTTTCTGTGAATTACTGAACACTTACTGTGGATCCCTAAAAGATGGTGATATTGATGAGTTGCAATGTGCTTCAATGATGGAGCATTGATGATATACTGTAGAACTCTACTATGAAAGTATAAGTCAATTTTGGAGTTTCTGGAAATGAATGTATTTCTGGATAGGGCAGTCCTCACCTTCACACATGGGAGTAGAATTCATTTTTCTTATTGCCAAATTTTATCAGTTATTTGCCTAAATGATTTTCAAGCGTTATTGGTGTTTAGGTTACCTATACTGGCCTCGTGCATTAGGCCGGGATTATATTGGTGTATAGGTTAATATTGGTCTTATATTCACTGAAGTGAATAGGGACCCTGAGATTGTTCTAGCACTTAATCCTTTACTTGAATTTTGTCATTTCCTTGAGTTGTGGAACTCTGATAATCTCTAGAATCAGGGTGCTTGGAGAAATTGTGATTTTTGATTTCTTGCCTTCTTAGAATCCTTCACATGAATGGCTCAATGTTCAACAATTCTAGGAATTGGAAAATTTTGCCTTTTCTATGCATACACCAAAAATTGTTTGGAGACTACTAATGTGGTGGCTTTTGCTTCATGCAGATGGACAGCCTTTGGTTTTGGATGAAATTGAAAAAGATCTTCCTGCCTGTTCAGCAAAGGTTTTGTTGGAATCAAAATGGACGTTCATAACTCAGGAGGTTATTCTCTCTTATCTATGCATAAGTGACTGGAATGGATATGCTTGTTTACTATGCATATAAAAATGATATATATTCTTTTTCCATTTATATCTTGGCATGCATAACCACATTGACAGGTTGGGTCCTCCTTGTGCTAAACAATAGAACACATTAAACCATCTTAGCTTAACTTTCTAACTTTTTAAATTTTAATTCCATAAAATAATTGTGATTCTGTTTTTGGTTATAATTGAAGCGAAAATTTCTGTTTAGTTCAATGATTTTTGGTTCCATCACAAGAAATATGCTATAAACATGTTGACTAGTAGCATGAGTTGTTTGCATGCTAATGTTTAACCATGACTATACGTCTGGCACCAACTCTGAGGGAATAATTGAAAAAGATTATGATATTGGTCACCAAAGTATGGATGTGCCTGTATCCAAATACCAAAATAAAAATTGGTTGGTATTTTGCATTTCGGGGATCACAAGAACAGATAAAAGAGGAATGCCCTTGTTGTGTTAACTGCATGTCAAGTTAATGAAGCAGCACAATCGAATTATTGTTGAGCATCAGCCGCTCAGCCTATCAAGATATCTTATATTGGCGGGATTTCACTGTTTCTGTCCATGACTATATTTGGTTGATAGATTTTTTTTTCCAAGTAGAACCTATCACTTTTGAGATCAGATTTCTGGTTTGCAGAAACTTCATACATTTACTGTTGTTATTACATGCATCATGAAAGCTTATTTGGTGCAGGTAATGCTGCCTTTTCTTTTTAAAAGTCAGAAGTGAGACCTAAAATTATGTTATCACCTTTTTCCTCTCCAAATTTATGTTGCATTTTCATTTTTTTTCTCAAAACTGATTGTTGGTCCCATCTTCCACATTTCTTATTACCCCATTTTTGTTCCATGTTGAACTTTGCATGTTCGTTCTCTTCTTTGTTCATCTTTTACAAGCATATGGTAGATTTGGATGGAGTTCTGTTTATTACTTGTAAAGATTTCATGAAATGTTGAATATGATGTTTAGCTCCGGGGAATATTAATGTAAATATTCTGTTGATTGTAGGAGCATCCATACTTGAACAGGCCATGGTACAAATTGCATCCATGTGGAACTAGCGAATGGATGCTGTTGCTTTTCCTCGGCAATGCTGCTCCAGATAAACAGGGAGTAGCGGTTGATAAATATCTGGTCTCTTGGTTCTCAGTTGTTGGGCAGGTAGTTGGTCTTAGGATCCCATTTGAAATGTTGAACGATAGTAATCAGCCGTAGCATTGAGATGCGTGTTGTACAGACAGAGTTTAACTCTTGTTAATGAAATCAGTCTTCAGTAGAGAAAGTTGAAGAAAATATATCTCTGTGTTGTTTTTCATCTGGAAAATGGAAATCTAATAAAACTGAAGGCTTTACAGTGAAAATGCTCAAGAGAATAATTCAGATTAAGTATGCTGGAAATGTCAAAAACATGGAGACAAATGAAACAAACAGAATATTAGCGGCTACTTCTCCCAAGTAATTCTGTGGTATTAACTATTTGTTTTCTTCTGAACTTTGGGAGAAAAAAATCACAATGGCTCACTTATACATAGGAGCAATATACAAATCATATTCATATGCAACAAAAACTTTCTCCTGATTGAATGCAATTGCACTGCATATAGAATCTTGAATTTTGATATATCCCTAATCAAGGGGTTCATAGCCCGGCACCCAAGCTCATTTCTTAAATGGTTTATTCCTCTGCCTGTTTCTTAGTGATCCGTCTAAAGCAAACTAGAAATTCTGTATTACCCTCTGCACCTTTTAGAGGAGACTCAATCCACCCTTTACTTAGAAATCCAAAATTCTCTACCCCCTTTATGATCTTTTCAAGAACCTACAGATGAACCAAATAAATGAATCACCATTTCATGATTTTAGGTCATTTTGCGACCAAGCTCTGGTTCACAAAGACTGGAAAATGAAATTGAAGAAACTAGGGAAAGAGAAGTTAAACAGAGAGGTCCCTTAAACATGTGACTAAAATAGACATAAAATCAGTCAGCAATAATACAGAAAATCAGTCAGCAATAATACAGAAAATTCCATACCTCCTGATGGACTAAAGGATCTCTCACAATCCCACCACCTCCTACCTGCAAACTCAAAACAAATGTTGAACTCAATCACAAAAATGACAATTAAAATTGCTTAACCACAAACAAATAAGAAGAAAAAAAAAAAGGTGTAAAATGGACAATCTACAGGCCTACATAAAGTTAGTTTGATTAAGCATGTTGAGAATAAATAAATCTTTACTCAAAGCCCCATAATACTTTACATTTTCAAGGGGGTCTGGTGTAAGGAGAAAGCATGCTCTTTCAGACCTCATATAGTTTTCAGTAGACTAATGGTGCCCTACTGCAGGGAATTCCAATGCTCTAGGAATTCTGAGAAGTGAGGAAGGAACATTTTTACTTGATCACCCTTTAAAAAATAAAGTTTCAGGAGTATTACGGAAAAAGTTCTGGAAATATTGGTACAGACACAGTCACGGTCACCTTTACAAAGCAGTGATTACGAATCCAACCAAAGCAAGAGCTAAAACATATTAAGATATTGTGAAAAAAAATGAAAAGACAAGGAATGAGGGCTATTACTTGTGATCTGCGAGCTTCAAATTGAGGTTTGACCAAGGTAACCAAAGTTGCCTCTTCTGTCATCAAATTTACCACCGCTGGCATGACCTGCTTAAACAATAAAGATCATTCCATCTATAGGTATACTGGTCATTAAGCATTAGATTTATAACAATTTCTTCACAATGAATTATAAACACAACATTATCTCAATCAGTTCTCTACCCTTCTATCAGTGGCTGATGATTATCAGGAAGTGTGCATCCCAAGTAAGCAATGGGTAATATGAATAAGGAAAATCCAAAAATAGTTGGAAAATGCAAAAACCAATAACAGCGTTGATAAACTTAGCAATACAGTGGTTTTCCAGCACTGAAAGCTTACCGTGAGAATAGAAATGAATGAAAGGTCCAAAGTCACCAAATTAACTCTTTGTGGGAGTGTAGAGAGGTATCTTAAGTTTGTTCGTTCTATTACACAAACACGTTCATCTCGGCGAATTTTGTCAGCTACCTATTAAAAATCAACAACCATAATCAGTCAAGACTATAAGTGATATACAAGTGCACAGAAGTAGATGGCAAGAAACATAGGCAGAAAAAAAATCTGATTAAGCCAAGAAAAAAGATCTTTTTCTGGAAGCAAGTCTTTTCAAATTACACAAAAATTTTTTAGGGTGTGCTTTCTTTTAATCTTTAATGACTAAGAAGATGTTATAAGCAAATGACTCAGTTGGGGAACCGAGGTTCACAGTTCTCAACTTGAAAAGTAATAAACTTCATATTCATGTATGAGACTTGGAAGAATAACTTCAAATTCCATGTATCATGTTTCTTTTTACTCTAAACAGAAGTTAACTTTTTAACCAGAAGATATTCTGCCTACAACCTCGTTTTGCACATATGTAACTTATTTAATATCTACCATAGTTCTGGTTCAGAATGTTTAAGGGGTGTCAGGATGACCAGATGTGCTACGGCGAAACCGCTTACATTTTGAATTAGAACTATCTTTTTACATACAATTTTTGTTTTCCCTGTCTTTGTTTACATTATATTAAAAAATAAATAAAATAAATAAAGGGGGCCAAAAATCCTTAACCAACATATCCAAGCAACAATTCAAAAATAAAAAGAACTCAACAAAGCAAGCACAACTAGTTTACAGTTAGGAATACTCTTTCATCCATTCCACCCTCCCAGATCAAATCTTAGTAAATTGTTTAAAAACAAAAGGATTTTTTTACTATCCTAACCATAAACTTTGGTATTTCTTTCTTTTTCTCATCCCCCGAAATTAGAATTGAGTCATAGCAAACCTATAGGTCAACAATAGACATGCCAAAACTTTTCCATGAGCTTCCCTTAACTTAATATCAGGTCATTGGGAGCCTTGATGTTACAAAAATACAGCAAAGTAATGTAACAATAAAGTCATTTAACCTGTCCATAACCTACATCAACTCCATAAACAATGATGCACCATCCTGAAGTAGACAGTCGTGAATCCTCCTAGGGACAGTCCCTGAATCAAGTCTACTTTTCCATTGACATCAACATAGCTGCTCAATGGCAGCTTCCACTTATGTCCTGCTCTGGACCAAGAACAAAAGATAAAATCAACGTTACATGACAAACCCTTGCACTCAAGAATAAATTTTAATCTATAAAATCAAAAGAAAGGTTGCCTCGGGAATAATCACCTACATACGTATTTGGCACTTCAGCTTTATTTTACAATTGCCTTATCGAGAGTGGTGTTCCAGCTTTGTTCACCATTTTCCATCTACAAAAACTTTACCTACACCAGCAACATGTAAGGAACAGACAATTGCTTAATCAAGTAATCAAACACAAAAGTCAAACCGTAATTCTTAACTTCCTTTCACAACAAAGGAAATGAAAAGAGTTTGCAAACAAGTCCTTTTTCATACCTGAGCGGTTTAAAATAGTGTAACTAAACACCTCAGTATCGACAAGAGTCAATAATGGTCATATTACTGTAGGCCATTAGTGTACTGGGCTATTTGTGTTACAAATACAATGTTTTGATTCCAAGTAACAATGCTTTAGGAACCTCAGTAAGCAAGAAATATCCTGATGACTGAAAAAATTTTTGCCGTAACCATTGAAAAACAGAGCTTTTAACGTTACCAGTGGCCGTACCATAGCAATTCTCCATCATTATACTTGCATTAGATTTAAAGCATGCCCAAATCTATCCAAGAAAAAATACTTAAGAACAAATCAAGTTTTAACATTCTTCGTACACTCTTCTGTCTCCATAGCTGACATCAATTTAAAGCTAAGTAAAATTAAAATACATTGGATGCAATTCAGAATGCTTTACTGTAAATCCAAGACTGTTAAAAAAAATGTTAAGTTCGACTATATTGCTGAAACCTTTCACGAAAACCTCATCAAGCCGCCTTTTCCTAAAAATATCAATGAAAAGTGTAAGTAAATTTAAAAAAAAAAAAAAATTGCACCCCGTATGTGAAATCACAATTTAGGTAACAAAGCATACTTTTGGCGGTATTTGAATCTTTGTGACTAAGCAACAGCAAACCTTCTGATGGTTTTTGTCTTTGGCCTTTCAGCCATCTCCCTGAATGATAAAAGCATCAACAAGAAGAACAGCTTTTAGATAACGAATACTTTTATATATGTATAAAAAAAAGAGAAGAAGAGAGAGGCGGGTACCAGAAGAGTATGAGAATGGAGTTGAGTTGGAGAAGAACCAACAAGCTTGAAGTGTTGCACGCGAGAGATTGTGGGGAGCTTCAGAGTTGCGTGCATTAATTTGATGAAGTCTTCTTTGAGAGTGCAGTGAAACAGTTTCAGAAGCTGATAAAAGGGGGTTTTTTTTTTTTTTAGTCGATGCTCAACGTTTTGAGATAAGCCAAACGACATGTCGTTAAGTGATTTTTTATATTTTTATTCCTCGTTTTTGTTATAATTTGTGATTTCCCCTTGGTTTTTTAAAAATAGCTTTTGGTGTCTTATATTATGGTTAATCTTAGAAAATTCTTATTGGTTGACAAAATGACATGTTTCATTCATGGCCAATTTACCACAATTTGACCAAGTGCTTTAAAACGATTTTATCTGATTCCATCCCATATGTCGGAACTTTTTTTTTGTGTTGTTTGTAAATGGACTTGGTGTGTCTATCTCTATAGTCTATTGAACATCCTACAAGCTTAATGTTCTAAGGTAAGTTATAAATATGATAAGTGACATTAAATCTAAAAAGTCAATAAAGGGAACAAACTTTCTTGACCGTTAAACCAATCCCTTGGGATTGTTATTGGTAACTTGATCGATCGCATGGATGTATCGTGAAAATCCTTCGAGTGAATTGTGGAACCCTCCAATTGGGAGACTTCCAAGCCTATTTTATCAAACTCCTTTTTATACAAAGCATCCACAAAACTCTATGTATCAACCAAAATTCTAACCACATTACTATTTCCCACCAATAAAATAACCACTGTTGCATCGTCATGTGGTTGCCTAATGATTTTTGCATCATTTTTGGAAAATCCCACCTGGTATCTCAATAGTCAAATAATAAAGAGTATTTTCGTCTTTATAATTAAATAGTAACGGATTTTCCTAACGGAATATGACAGTAGATGGGAAAGTGTCGTTTTGTTTTGAAACTTGACCGATGAGAAATTGTCGTTCTCCTCAAAAATTAATTAATCTTATGTAAAATTTGGAATTAGTTTT